TTATCCAACAAGGTCCTATTCATTCTCTCAGCCGCCCCATTCTGTTGAGGTGTGTATGGGACAGTTTTGTGTCTTAGGATTCCATTTTGTTCACAAAATTTATCAAATTCTGAGTTGCAAAATTCAAGTCCATTATCAGTCCTCAAAATTTTGATCTTTGTAGACATTTGATTTTCAATAAGGACTTTCTAGCTCTTAAACTTTTCAAAGATTTCAGATTTGTGTTTTAGTAGAGACACCCACACTTTCCTTGAAAAGTCATCTATTATTGAGAGGAAATACTTATTTTCCCCTTGGGTAGTTGTGGAGGCTGGACCCCACAAATTAGAGTAGACATATTCCAATAGGGAAGTAGTCTTATGCTTTTCAGAATCAAAGTGGAGTCTGTGATGTTTACCAAAAGTACAGTTTTCACAGAAGGGAATTTTTGATATTTGGTCCTTATCAAATGCCCCCCTTTTATATATGATTGTGAGGCCTTTTTCACCAACATGTGCAACCTTTTATGCCATTTTAGGGTGAAATCAGATTCAGTATTAGAGACAGTAGCATTATTTTCAAGTACTGTTTCAGCTTTAACTACATAGATTCTATTTTTTTTACACCCTTAAAGATGACAAGAGATTCCTTGATCACTTTCATCAACCCATCTCCAATCCTACCACACATCCCTAGGTCATCTAATTCTCCCGTAGAGATGAGATTCCTTTTAAGTTCAAGTACATACCTTACTCTCTCTAGGGTATACATGTATCATTTTAGGGTGAAATCAGATTCAGTATTAGAGACAGTAGCATTATTTTCAAGTACTGTTTCAGCTTTAACTACATAGATTCTATTTTTTTTACACCCTTAAAGATGACATGAGATTCCTTGATCACTTTCATCAACCCATCTCCAATCCTACCACACATCCCTAGGTCATCTAATTCTCCCGTAGAGATGAGATTCCTTTTAAGTTCAAGTACATACCTTACTCTCTCTAGGGTATACATGTATTCATTTTCAAATTTTAGGGTCACATTACCTAAACCTTCAATTTTGCAGGCAATATTATTCCCCATCACCATTTCACCACCTCCTAACTTCTTAACATCTTGAAGCGAGGACCTTTCATGTGTAATATGAAAGGTACAACTTGAGTCCAATATCCACTCCTGGACATATCTGTTGTGAGCATAATTTGCCACTTCCAGATCAGGTTGCTGAGCCACCACATATACATCAACTGTGTTAGGTTCAGCAGGCTCAACTACGTTCCCCTCATCAACTTTCTTTTCTTTAAGTTCAACTTTCTTATTATGGCAATCTTTTATGTAATGACCAAGTTTGCCACAACCATAGCACTCCTTGTTATTTCTTGATTTTAATTTTGATCTTGATTTACTCCTGAATTTCTTTCCGTTACTCTTTCCTGAATGATTTTGATTTGGATGGTTATTACTTTGCCTATTTGGTTGTCTTCCTCTCATGAACAAACTCTCAGATTCCTTCTCTTGGCTTTGAGTTTTAAGTTCCGATTCTTTACTTCTTATGGAATTTATAACAACCTCAGGAGTCAAAGTATCTTTGCCATACTTAATGGCAGATTTGACATCCCTATATGCCTCTGGTATGGCATTAAGAAGTATTACTGCTTTATATGCTTCAGAAATTATATCCCCAACATTGGTGATATCTCGTACCAATTTATTGAAGGTATCAAGATTATCATCCAGGTCTTCGGTTGGATCAGTCTTAGAACTAAAGAACCTCTGTAGAAGGAAGAGCTTATTAGGCAAAGACTTCACTAAGTACAGCTCCTCTAATTTCTCCCAGAGGACCTTAACATTTTCTAATTTCCCTACTTTCCTTAACACTTGGTCAGATAGGTGGAGAAAAATTGAGGTATAGGCTAAATCATCTTATTCAATTCTCTGTTCTTGTGTCATTACTTCAGGAAACTCTTCAGTTATAGCCTTAAAAACTTTCTGTTGCACTAAAACCCCTCTCATTTTTTGTTGCCATATAGGAAAATCCCCCTTTCCATTGAAGACCCAAAGTTCAAAGCTAGTGTTGGTCATTTTATAGATCAAACAGGTCACACTTAGCAATATTGATTTGATCACAACAGGCAAATAAGAAGCAGAGATTTTTGATATTATAGGCAAGGCAGAAAAGTATATGTAAGTGCAGAAAGAACAACTTAACACACACACAGTATCCAACACAAAGTTTTAAAGATCAACTACCCAGCACTACCTAGATTTCGTGAGACTCAAGATCTCAGATCAAGGCTTGGGTGGTAGGTAGAGGTTTTGTTGATACGAAATGAGGAAGGTATCAATACAAGACAAAGATAAAAACAGAATAGTTACCCATATTACTATAATATTCCAACACAGCAAGAATCAGAGAACAATATACAAGTACACTGCACTACTCCAACAAAACAAGTATAAGCAGCTTAACTCAAATCACACAAGTCCAAATGCAAGAACAATTATTCAGTAAAGCAGATAACAAGAAATCAAGCAGTAAAATTAGGGTTCGAAGAATTAAACCATAGTGGTGGTCGTTTCACATGACCACACATGAATTTCATCAAGGTACGAGTCCACAATACCCAAGATCGAACAAATCCAATCACCGTAGGCAATTTTCACCAAGAAAAGCTAGATTTATCACAAAGAAACTCCAGATATAGGGTTGTGACTCCAAGAAATTTACCAGATCTACCGGATATTGCAAGAACGTGTTTCAATTTACCCACAAGAGCCTTTTGAAGGCTCTGATACCACTGTTACACAAAGTAATGAACCCAAATATACAAAACAACTAAGAAAAGTGTTAGTACAAAAATTACAAAAAACAAATCCGCTTCTAGCCGATCAACGAAATTCAAACCACAAGCATCAAAGATGAAGGTTTTTCACATTTTGGGCTCAAACTCGAGAGAAAGTCAGGTTTGTACCCATCTGTATAACCCACACAATCCATTCAAACCCTAAAGCTTTTCCTCTATTAGATTAAAGGAAGCCACAAGGGTAAAATCACACACCAACCCCTTTAATACACTTAGTATTTCAGTTTCACACAGAAGAATTACTCAAAAATCAGTTCCAATCAGAGATTGGAAGTTCACGAAGAAGAAGAAGGGTTTGGAAGAAGTCTCGAAATCTCACAGGGTACTCGAGAAAAAGAAAGTGACGATTCAACTCAATTAGGGCAACCAAGAGGCATATTTATACCCACAGACAAGTAACCATTGATCAGGATTTCATCCAACAGTCGAGGGCTCCCAAGAATAATGAAGAGGACGTGTTTTGGACTGCATTTAAAATGCCTCACCAGAAAACACGCTTTCTACCTTTTGGGCCGGGTGGATCAAGTCACGTTATTGGGCAAGAGCCTTGGTTTTAATACAACAGATTTTGGGGCTTTATCCCATTTTGTCACCACAGCCCAAAAAGGTCATTAGGCATCACAGCTCAACAAGTTTGTTAGTGTATATTTTCTCTTCAAGGAAGATGGAAATCTATCCAGAAGTTGTGTTGCCGGTTTTACTCAGCTCATAATGCTTACACGTCTTTATTTGTCCTTCGTTTGTGGCAGAAAATTTACAGTCACTGTTAAGTTTCATTTATGTGGCAACATAAAAAATCAAGGCTTTGTACTAGTCACAACTTAGTGGTATCTGTTCAGGTTTTCCGATCAAATTTCATCAGTTTCAGTTGAGATGAAAAGTTTGAATGAATTCGCACTATGAAATACTAAAAATTAAGGGAGCAATGACTGGAAACTATTTGAATTTCTCTCTTTAAGATTTAGAGGTTGGGAAGAACAGATGTCTGAATATATGGATTGCCACTTGGGGTTGCCTAATGAATTTGTTTGCAATAGGAGCTAGTATCTTTGCACGAGCCAGGCCATTTGTCCTCTCTTTTCATGAATTATAATAAATAAACGTGCAAGATTATGATAGATTTCATCTGATTTTACTAAGTTTTGACTGTAGAACTCAATAACAATTAACATATCCAAGTTTTGCCAATTATGATTTCCTTTAGACACAGTGGTGAACTTCATCATTTTTTCTGTCAGTTAACTTACCCTGATTGATGGCAATCTTTCTCCAAGAAATGTAAGAATACCTCAGGCTTTTCCTCAAGAGTCTTTTGTCTGAGCTTGCATTAGACTTCGTAAGAATTTTCCATATACACACTCAATATTTTTATAGGAAATCCATCAATAGGTTGGAAGCATGTGAGTTTCTATTTAACTTCTTATTACGGTCGTCTAAGGAAAGAAATGTGTAGATAATCTCGATCTATACTCCCCTCTAGATTCTTGGATATCAACAACCACCAGCAAAGCTGGTTAGTCCTCCTTGTGTTCCTGTGCTGCTAATTGTCCATCCTATCTCTCAGTGTAGCTTCCGAACCTCCCGCCATTCTATGGGGGTCAAAACTCATGTTATGGGCATGTGATGGCGCCCACATGCTTCAAGATGAGATTTGCAAAGTTTGAAATTCACTTAACCAACAAATCATCGTGATCACAAAATTCAAAGTACTTGAAGAGCTTTCCTATATCTTGGATAAAATCATGTTACAAAATTCACATCTCATGATGAGTGGCTAAGGCTAAAATATCAAAAGTTACTTTCTAGATCAATATTTAACAGAGTTCTGAACTGGTCAATTGTCAAAATATTTCCTTCTAATTAATCAATCATTGTGGTGGTTATAGTATAGACATTAAACAAAAAAGTGTGTGAAGTCAATTGGATCATTTAGTAGGCGTTAAAAATGTGTCAAAGGAATGCTTCTGGTGGTAAGTTGGTTTCTCTTTGACTGCTCTAGTTGTGTCCTCTCATGTAGGAAATCATGTGTTACTTATTTCGAATGAAAGAAGATTATTGCCTGATGTATGGTACTTTTAGTAAGTGCACCTTTTGTAAACTTAAAAAAATGTCCTTAGAAGTAAATAAATAGGTTTTTAAAATGAATAAATTTTGGTTGGTCAAAGTCAAAAAAAGTTATTTATTTTGAAAATAAGCTTTCTTGTCAAAGTAATTTTTTACTTAAACTAAGAAAAAGGCAAAGCGGAAATCCCAGAAAATTGGGCTTTCTCAAAAATTTTGAAATGCTTTTATGAAACCATGGGGATGTTGCCTTCCAGGAGGTCGTCACTGCTAGATATAAACTTTCCTTGGTCACAAGGATTTAAAAGGAGAAAAGTGAAGCCTAAGCTAAGCTAAGGAAGAACAGCCTATTCAATCATGTTTTGACGTAATATTTTACCTAAAATACTTAATTTAAGTTGCTTTTAAGCTTAGCCGACATCCTCTATACGTTAGATCACTGGGTTGTTGAGTGAATTTTGAAATTGTAAATTTCATGTGCTGTGTAGAATATGGACGTAAGATTTTGATGCATGTTTTGCTACAACCGTATCTTGTGAGTTAAGCAGTCATAGAATTTGTATTCGAAGTGTTGCAATTGGCGTACTTTTTCTTGACTTCTTTGCAGGTATCCTGGTACTGGGGAGTACGACAAATTCTTCGAAGAAGGTATCTACAAATGTGCAGGATGTGGAACTCCCCTCTATAGATCCACAACAAAATTTAACTCGGGATGTGGTTGGCCAGCATTCTACGAGGGTCTCCCAGGGGCTATAAACCGAAATGTGAGCTTTTCTTTTCTCGTCTCTTTACGTAATTCTACATGTTACATCAACAAATAGTGCTAGAAATAATCGTATCCCTATCCCTGTTGATGAGTGATTTCAGCCGGATCCTGATGGAATGAGGGTAGAAATTACATGTGCAGCCTGTGGTGGACACCTCGGTCACGTTTTTAAAGGTGAAGGTTTTCGTACACCAACGGACGAACGCCATTGTGTTAACAGTATTTCATTGAAGTTCACTCCTGCAAATTCCGGATGAAGCGCGCATTGGCGGTTTTAGATTATGTAAGTCATCAAATTACCTCAATAAAATCTGCAGAAGATCTGTTTGGGCCTGAGATCTTCGCTTTCTTGTTTAAATAGGTGCCTGTTATTTGTCGATGCTGTGGATTGAACCATACATTTTTCATTATGCATCTTTAACCATATAATATTTAATAAAATAATATTACACGTAAATACATTTTCCTTTGCCCATGGAGTTGGAGACACATTTTAGCCCTGTTTGAACCCCATTCTTATCAAAATATATTTCTCTTTCTTCTTTTTAACAATACAATATTCAATAAAATAATATTACACGTACCTGTCTGACGTGGTTTGTAGGCTTTGCGTCAACTTGAGGGTTTACCTAGTGTGCACCTGAAGGGTAACGGCCGCGGGTATATATATATACACACACACGTAAATCAAAAACTTTACTTTATCTTCCAACTACAGATTCTCCAAAAATCAATATTTCAAATTTCAAAGTACATTTTTAACCCAAAACTGGACTCAAACAAAGCCTTAATACAATTCTTATCCTTCATTAATAATCCCTTTAAAGTCCATTGAAAGTTTCAATACTACTGCTCTTTGTTAAAATGAAATTTAAGCCGAAGCCCACTGAATCCATACGCAAACCAGGAGACAATAAGTAGGCTGTGGACTAAACTCAAAACTAGCTGAAACAGATAAGCATCTGTGTTATAGCCCTTGTTTGGGCCTCGTAGTTTGGAGGTAAGGTGCTTTGGAATAGTGTGATTTTTTGGATAATATGAGGTTAAAAAAGGAAAAACTTTATCTGTAAAATTATTTATTGGGAGAATGCGGTGGAAAATTAATTTTGAAGAAATGAGTTTCACGTTCCAAAAGTCAAAATGGCAGTATATATCCCCAAATTGACATCTCCTAAATTCGGGCACCTCTAGCTCCGGGTGAGTGATAGAATATAAATGAAAGTTTGACCCTCAATCTTTGAAAAAAATTTCTTAAACAATATTTTGACATTATTTTGATTATGCATTCTTCAATAAAATAATATTATACAAAAATTGAAAATTTCTCCTTACATTTTAATCACACATTTTTAATCAATGTACCATTTTAAAATTCATTCTTATGAAAAAGCATAATGTTATCTAATATCAGTTGTGTTATAATATTAGTTTACATATTATTATGTGATAGGTTCAATTAAAGAATAATGTTATTCATAATAAAGATCACTGACAGTTGTCATCCGTAACATACACATAAAGTTTATTATTTGATGCATTAGGTAATAAAAATATAATATTAATGTATCAAATAATAAACTGTATGTATATGTCACATAAGACGATTATTGATAGTTTTCACTATGAACAACATTGTTTTCAATTAAAAGTGAAATTATGAGATTCATTTAATCGCACATATCATTTAATGACAACTAGTACCACCTAAATTGGTGTTATGATGCTAGTGGTGCTAAATAGCAGAGTTAATTAATTCAATGGTCATTGAAATTAGGGTCATGTCTTTAATTAGTCACTGAAATTTAAAATGTCGAGTTTTGGTTATCGAACTTAGGTTTATGTCGTCAATTGCTCACTAAAATTTAAAATATCAAGTTTTGGCTACTAAATTTTGAAAAATATTGTACATTTCTCACTAAATTTTGAATACAACATTTTTTATTGAATTTTAAAAAATGTTGTACATTACTCACTGTAAACTCGATATTTTTCAAAGTTCAACAGTTATGCTAGTAAGTAACGTATAGCATATTTCAAAATTCAGTGGTCAAAACTCGATATTTTAAATTTTAGCGAGCAATCTTAGACATTGACCTAAGATCGGTGATCAAAACTCGAGATTTTAAACTTTAGTGACCAATAAAAAACATGTGCCTAAATTCAATGACCATTGGAACAATTAACTATAAATGGCATCAATGTTAGGAAAATATCTTATGAATACTTATACTTTCACTTTAGTATAGACAAAGTAATTGTATATTATTTTGTATCTGTACTTATATATATAATTTAAAATAATGACTACACTTTAATTTAGTTTCAATTGTGTTAACTTTGTAGAATAATGCTGATAGAACAAGTAAATTTGAGTGATATAAATTATGACTATCATTTATTGACCATCATTTCATTGACTTTCATGAATTCAAGTGATAAAAATTGAATAAAATCACCTAATTGAAATGGAATTAAAATGTAATTACTTGAATGAATAAATTTTGATTAGCAAGAGTATAAGTAATAGAATTATCTTACAAATGCATCCGTAATGTTATCGATAGATTGGGGACTAAAAATGAAACACAGATCCCAAAACTGAAAACCAACAAAACAGCGCCCACGGTGTGTTTCTTCCCCTGGTAACTTAAAATTTAAAAACTCTCACCATTGCAAACGCACTATTCTTCATTCTCAAGAAATTTGCTTCAAATAATTCATCTGGATTTCACCAAATCATGGCGCCGACAGCAGCAATGCTCATATTAGGGCACTACTACAAACCAACGCCGTCACGTATTTACAATTGTTCATTGTCGCCTTCTGGATCTGTTTCTCAAGTGAAAGCGTCGATCGCCAAGTGCTTTTCACGTTTCAGTACCGTATTCCGACGAGAAGAGTCAGTCGCCGCTGGAAGAGTGGAAATGAGATTTCGATGGGAATGGTAGGTTATTATCTTTATGAAAATGTGTAAAATTCTGTGTTGTTTTATTTCGGAGTCCTCTTCTATCCTCTGAACTTCTGAAGCTGTATAAAGTCAAGTATTTTAGCTATCGAATGTGCAGAGTTTTAACTTCCAAATTCTCTTTCATTTTTATTCATGATCATGATCCCCGCTCCACTGCTACACAAATTAACATCATTATTCTTTGAATATTAATTGTTCACATCAAAACTCGGTTTAGGATTTAACACGATCCAAATCTTTTGTTTACATCGGATAATCTACTCACTTTGGCACATTGTTCCGCGGCGCTAATGGATCTTTATTCCAGTAACTGAGTTGGTTTTTGTTTTTGATAAATCATAAACACAAAATTTGACTAGTATACGGGATTATATACTGTTGAGTAGTAAACTTGATTTTTGGACTAAATAATATGGGTTTAAGGATTTTGCTTATAGGCCCAAATCAATTAAAAGGCCCAACATGCATAGTATTTCTAGAAATATTATCTAGAAAAATCTATATAAATATCTAAGTAAGATATGTAGTTTTATAAAGAATATCTAGAGAATTTTAGGAAAATATCTTGATATGTGGTCTAAGTGTCTCTAGAAAATGTGTGGACTAGAATCTTCTTGTAAACACTATATAAAGGGGTAGTGCCCTCCATTTTGTAACAAGCCAAAAAGTGTGTAAAGTCTTGAATTTGAGAAATACAAGTTTCCTTTTTTACTTCCTTCTTCCTATTAGTGTTGTCCTCTTAAAAGCCTTAGCTAATCCAAGTTGGTAAACCCATCTTTCCTCCAACAAACCGGTATCAGAGCCCCAAGGTTCTTGTGAAAATGGCAAGTGGGATGATTCCTTTTCAAGTCCCCCAACTCAACAAGGATAACTACGACAATTGGAGTATAAGGATGAAAGCATTGCTCGGGTTGCAAGATGCATGGGAGATCGTAGAGAAAGGCTACATGGAGCCACAAGACGAGGTTGCTCTATCCCAAGCACAAAGGGATAGTTTGAAGGATGCAAGGAAAAAGGACAAGAAGGCGCTCACCCTCATCTATCAAGCCTTAGATGAAGGCATGTTCGAGAAAGTAGCTTGCGCTACTACAAGTAAGGAAGTATGGGAGATCTTGCAAAACTCCCACAAAGGAGTTGAGAAGGTGAAAAAGGTTCGACTTCAAACACTTCGAGGTGAGTTTGAAGCTTACATATGAAAGAATCGGAATCAATTTCTGATTACTTCTCTAGAGTATTAGCTATTGTGAATCAATTAAAAAGGAATGGAGAAAAGTTGAACGACACTCGAGTAATTGAGAAGATAC